TATCGACCAATCAACACACACCAAACGGTCCGCGCACCCCACGCCCCGCGCCTCAACGAGTCCACGAACGACTGAGACTATAAAAAAGCAAACGAGAATGGGCGTCACGGGTCTCAACGTAGGGACTGTCATGGGCCTCTCCACGAAACTCGGCAGCAACGTGCTGCAGAAGGTCCCGTATATGCGCCGTACGTGAATGATCGCGCGCGTTGTCTCGCACATCGCTCGAGTGCAGCCACTTGATGACGCTACTCGACTGTCGATCTCACGTTGTATAGAAAGCCGCTTTTTTCGACGAGAGACTCACGCGACTTTTTATTTTCGTCATTTTTCTATTCGTGCTGCTGCTTCTCCAACGCAGATCCGTGGGAGCACGTGCTGTACATGGGCATCGGTGCTGGACTGGGCAGTTATCTGCAGAACAAATACCACCGGGACCTGGAAGAAGTGGAAGAGCTGCGACTGTACTTGGAGCGTCGCTCGGACGTGAACAAGGAGGCATGATGTGTGCTTGACCGGACAGCAGCTGCAACAGTATCAGCAGTGGACTGATTGGCGAACAACGTGTACAGCCGAAAGATGGGTTTGGTCGCTGCGCGTGAGGAAACCTGTGAGCGTCTGCAGAATAAAAAAGAATTGAAAAAAAGCAGAAAAAAGGAATCGTTTCCCTCTGTGTCGCGACGCTTCTTTTCTGGTGCTTTTTGGCTGGTCGTGTGGGTAAAACAGCTGCTCTTTGACGAAGCGATCACGGCATATGGACACATCCGGCCCGTTGCTGCTGGATGCGATGCTCGCAACCATCTCACATTGACCTGGCAAACCCACTTGGATGAGCTTGCGACTCTGCCCACAATGGAGCTTGCTTCTGGTACATCTTGCAGCAAGCATTGAACCAATTTGGGCAGGTGCTACAATGTGCACGAAACAGTTTGGCATCGCGTGTAGTGCCACTTGGTAAGGACTGACCAATTCGGCCTCGCACTTGACAAGTCTACATCAGAGATGGCCCGAACTGGTCCTTAGCAGCACACTGCGCTCACTTGGAACTCGCGCCATGCAAAGGCACAATTGCTCTACGAGACGACACGAAAGCTGCCTTAGCATCTTCGCTCAGTATGTGGTCTCGAGCGACACGACAATCACTGCATCTGACTTTCCACCAGACTCTGCTGGAAGACGGAGCTGCAGACGCTCGCAATCGTCACGTCATGAGGAGAACAAGAGTGCGATACTTTTGTGTACATCGCTTTTCTACGACACTCGACGAACGAGGTGGAAAACGTGGAGACTACCGATATGCTTTACAAGGGACGAGCTTCCAAACCAAAAAAGCACTTATCAGCATCGTGGACCCCTATCGACACCGTCGCGTCCGTCGCATTGTCAGGTTGAAGTTGGCAGAATGATGGTCGTTTGGTTTCCTTTTCGACGCGCCTTTGCCACTTTGCCTTTTGCTTTCCTTTGCAAGTGCAACCAACGCGCACAAAAGCAAACAGATCCGCAAGATGGCTAAGGGAAAGCAGCACGGCATGACGCCGATCCGCGTGAGTCTATCAGAGAGAGAGAGAGAGCGAGCGAGCGAGCGCGCGTTGCGTCGTTTCTTATTGTCTGTCAATGCTCTCGTGAGCTTACGTAACCACTCGGTGCTGTGCAGGAGAGCGAGGACGGGACGTCGTCAAGCGGCGATAACGTCGCAACGGAAGGCGAAGAGGACGACGACGAGGAGCAGCGGTTCGCGATGCGCCACTCGACGAGGAATCGCCGCGAGGACGAGGACGAGGACAGGAAGAGGAGGAGGAGGCACGCGCCTCTTTCGAGCAAAGAGGACGTCGCTGGAGGCAGCGAAGAGCTGACACCATACGTGGCCAAGTGCTATGGCCATTTGGAGACGCTGAGGAAGCGGAAACGCGAGCAAGAGGAGCGAGTAGAGACGCTGGTGGAAGGTGCTGCATTTGCCGCTGTGAAGCGGGCAATGCATGGGATCGGGGATAGCAGCGCAGCGTAGACTAACGTGGATGATGACGACGGTGGCGGTGGCGGTGCTGTCTTGTGCTTGTGTCGTGGCAGAAACGTTCGGACAGATTGAGACCATCATGCAAGAAATCATGCGCGGGCTGCAGGAGCGCCACGCCGTCTCCCACGCACACTTTGAGGCCACGGAGAGCAAACTCTCCCGCAGCCTGCGGGAACACAATCGGGTTCGTGCAGCATTTGTGTGCTCGTACGATGGCTGAATACAGGCGCACATGGGGGCTAAGAGCGCTTTTTTGCTTTGTGTGACGTAGACAGAGAAGAAACTCAAGTTGATTGCGTCGATTCTGCTGCGCGAGGACACCGACGAGTAGGGGATCGTCAAGTTTGAATATCACGTCAACAACTCTTTTTCTTTTTATGGCTACATTCCCACTCGAAATATTGCATTAGAACAAGTTGCCGACGAGCTGATGGAGGTGACAACGACATCGGACAACGACGTACTTGCACGAGTGGAGGATAAAAGGCGCGACGCAAACGGGGACGAAGACACTGATGTATCGGACGTGGTTGAGAGTGAGACGTCAGTGGAAATCGATGAAGGGAGTGAGTCGGGCGTAAAGGAGAGTGGAGCTACTGAGGTGGGTGACAGTATGTGAAGAGTAGAGGAGAAGACGGCAAGGAGTATCTAACGTTCTGTACGAACTTGCATCGTCAATCGATAAGAATGCGCACAAGATAGTGGAAGAGAAAGAAGAAACGACAAACCCGCTTGTCAAGAGCTCTTTGCCCTCCAACAAATCCTTTGACCGTCAAGTGAAGGCATTGATTACAAGCTCGGAAGCGTACATCTACTTCGATCAGTGGAAAAGCAAACTAAACGACAGGAGCACAGTTACGCGGCTACGTCTAGCATTCGAGCAACTGCTACCAAGAGTAAGCAAGTGATGATGGTGTCGCCGTGACGAGTGGGTTAACGACTCATATTGGATTTCACTGCGACAGCTTATGGGAGCGCGGGACTACGCAGGTGCAGCAAAAGTTCTGGGGGTGATATATCATAGGTTCGTCGTGACCCCAGGATTATGTATTGAGGTGCGTGCTGAACTCCCAGACCGATGTTCTGTACACACCTTGTATGACTGAACGCGATGTTGTCTGCGATGTCCATGCATTGTGTCAATTAGGCTAGCCTTGAGATCTTACGCCGGCAAGAAGACTACCGCAGTGCTCTGTTGAGTTTCTACGAGGCAGCTGCAGAGGTCCAGCATGTTGACGTAAGTGTCTACTAATTCTTCTTCGTGTGGCAATGACCTGCATCGATAATTACTCCCTGCTATGTTGTGCCTGTTCTGCTTTCGTAGAAAATGTCAATTTTAAAGGAAAAGTGGCTTTTTCACATTGCTCACGGAGAGTTTTATGAGGCCTATCATATGTACCGAGATACCATCGAGCCGGTGAAAGTCTAGCTAGCATGGCGTTTGAAGCTGTTGAAGCTATATTAGTGTAGAAGCCTCACACTTGCATGCTGTCGCTCGTTCTGTGTGCCTCAGATCGAGGAAGCTACAGACGATGCAAGGTTGCTCGCCAATTTTGGAATTTTATGCTACTGGCTTATCTTTGTTGAGTCCAAAACACTGCGCGACCGGTTTGTCCGGGAACACACGGACTACGATGACGAAGAGGATGATCATTTGGACGCTGCAGACAATACGAATTGTGGCGCGAGCGGCGGTGTCGAATCCGTGATCGAGTCCAATTACTGCTTCAAAACACCCATTGGGGTCCACGTTTTGTATCAGCACGCCAGTAATGCACTGAGACGTGCCGTAGCGCTAAGTCCGAATTCGGCAATGTTTGTGGAGTACTATGTGCAGCTTCTTGTGCTCGTGGGCGATATCCAGCCAGCATGTGACTATCTTGAGGCTTTCTTCCACATGAACCCGGATGACCCTCATGGATCGAGAATGGTGCGGGTTATTGACGCGGCTGTCGTAAGATGTTGTCTAATAACTCATGTACACGTTCTGCCCGTCAGCTTGCACAGTTTCTGGAGCACTATTATCCGGATTCGGTGGATGCTCAGGTTGCTGCGTTCGCCAGGTACTAAGCGATGCTACTGCCAAGTAACTTCTCTTGCTTACATCTAGTGCTGTTGTGTGCAGGTGGATGAAAAATGACCCTTCATGTAGCTACCCACTGGAAAAAGTGCTGGAACTCTCCAGCGCTGGCGTCGTGTCATCTGTTACGCTGACAAGAGTCTTAGTTGAAGCGCTTGACACGTGTGGCAGTGATTTGTACGTGGAACAAAGCCCAGACATGGCATTGACGTTGTGGAGAAATCTGGCAGAATTGCTTGCCGCGATGGATGAGGACGTGTTTCTGATGGATCAAATCGAAGGGGGAGCCACCGATCCGTCAAGCCGACAAACGATTGCAGATGTGGGAGCGCAGCGTGCTTGGTGGAAACGGGTCTTTTTTGTTAGGCCGAGCACGTATGATGAGGCGGTAGCCGTCGCAAAACGCGACAGCAATTTCATGCAGGTGTCCATTTATCGAGCTGTCGTGTCGGACCACCTTTTTCCCGGTCAGCTTCCTCTGACAGAAGCTCTGCGCTTGGTGATGGCCTCACCAGGTGTAATTTCTTGTCAAGATCACGTTCGCTTGTTTAAAAGGTACAGGACAAGTTTGAACGTGCGGATTCTTGTGTGATCGACCTGCGCTAACATGCAATGCTCTTCTATAGCTTTTTCCCCTCTGTTTCGAGCACGAAGGTCACCAACGCAGCGTATACACCGTTTTCGGACATGTCATTTATGCACGTCACTGACGATTGCAAGCAAAGAGTGTTACCCGTGTACAAGGGAAGCTCAACTACTGTGCGCGTGATCGACCGTGAGTCGATTGTGGAAAGAGAGGCAGCTAGCGAACAAGCCAAGGTGGCGGTGACGCGAACGGGAAAAGCAAAGGAAGTGGACGAGCAATTTGTAGAGGAGCTTTACGAGGCATTGGAGTCTGAAGTTGTTCTTTCGGGATCAAGCGACCAGCTATCCCGAAGAAAGCGCAAAGCTGATGCAGCTTTTGCAACTTCAGCACTGATTCCGGGTTTCGTCCGAATGGTTGAAGAAGAAGTCTATAACGACCCGAAAGCCGCTGTGCGGCACATTTACTCGGCGATATACCAAAAGCTGCGTCGCTCCGATATGCTCGTACCGACGTCAAAAGTGGTGGCGCGCTGTGCGAACTTCTTTCGAAACCGATTGAAGAAAAACATAGAGGCGTACGGTCACAGCGGGATGATGATCCGACACGAGGAATTCATTGCTATGTATCTGCATCGTCAGAGAACAAAGGGTATCTACGAAGTGACGACAGACGCCGCTAAAGCAGCTGTCGAGGAGATGAAACGTGTTTTGCCTAGTACACATCCACACTTTCCGAATGAGGATCTTGTAGAAGAGACGATGCGCAGGAAAACAGCAATGTTTGCCCGCCAGCGAAGACTTGGGCTAATGCATCTCAAGCAAACGCTGAAGCCTGTGCTACAAGAGATCGTGTATGTTGTCGAGAAGGTCTTCGTCGATGCGGTCCACTCGGTTTGTGTCCGAAACGGGTTGTCAGGTGTGATCACTCGCCTTGACATTGCCCGAACAGTGCAAAACATTCTGCCAATGCACTATCACAGAGTGGTTCAGAGGATGCCGGTTCGCTTTACTCAAAAGCTTTTCTCGCCCACGTTTAGGAAGAACTGCAACACGCTCGAAGCCATCCTCCAGAAGCTCAAAAGAGAAGGATGTTCGCGAACGGCAGAAGAAGTACAAGTGCTTTTTTGGGTGGAGAGGCACGAAGCCTTGCATGGTCCCATCGATGACATCGAGGAAGATACTGCTGAAGGAGAGCGCAAAGACGACACGAGCAGTAGCGACAGTAGCACCAATAGCGAAAGCGGCGGCGAAAGCGTTTGTGAAAATGACAACAGTGAGGACTCGGCTGAGGATGACGGCGCTGATGCCGACAGCGGTGGTGACTTTGACGAGCACAGCAAGGATGGCAGCGATAGAAGTGACTGGGATGAGACACGTTAGGGGCAGCAACAGCAGCCTGATCACGTCGCATGTACCGTAAAGTCTTCTATTTCGATTCTATGCGCCTCGTTATCGTTCCACGCCGTCGCTTGTTTTGGTGCGCTTTACATGACGTCGTCGTGGGGGCCAGAGAGACATCGTCAACGAGTTCTGTCTGGAGTGCGCCAACAGCCGAATCTCGAGCGCGTGCATTTTTGTGGTGCATGGAGCGCGCCACAAGCCGCTGGATACGGTAGCAGCAATTGCGGCACCGCTGTAAAGCACATCGACTGTCCCGTTGGACGATCGTCGAGCACTGCGGGGACTTGCAAATCAGTTGGAGGCTCACGGCCGATCCGGCTACATCATCAATGCTGGGATCGTCACTAGCAGCAGCATGTGGTTGATTAGCAGACCAGATCACGCGCGGCGCCTCTTCCGGAGTGTGCTTCGCCAGTACCAACTTCGTTTGGTGGCGTGCTTTCCTTCGAAACTTGTCAGGATTCGTGTCAACGCTGCCGCCATCAAAGCCCACGAAACTGTGCACGGTTGCAATGTCGTGCAGAACAGGATGCAGGAATTGCTCCAAACTGCCACGATCGCGGAGAGGCACGCGCAATGCACCAACAGGCCTGACATAATCGAGCCGTCGGACATAGGGCAACCCGAATAAATGTGCCAAGCTCCGCGGCATCGGAATAGAAGACAGTATCCACCCGAGAACTAAAAGTCCGAGATCCTGGAGCCATTGGACAAGTCGAACGCGAGGAGATCCATCCGTCACTCCATTTGCCGTCATGCTACCGTGACGAGAGCTGACTTCCGACTTGAGGAACGACACGCCGCTTGCTTTATCACGTGCGATTACCCAGGTGCCAGTCGAACAGCAGCTACGACTTGTCTGACAAAGCTGACCGCTCGTGTCTGCAAATCTCACATCGGCCAACGCCGAGAAAAATGCATGCGCCGGCTTGTTCCGCTCCGTTGGTTCCCAACTAAACTCGAGCGACGCACAACCTCTTCGTGCAGCAATTTCGCTCAGCTTTCGCATCATAGCATGCTCGACACCGCGGTTCAGTGCACGACAGCTGAGCAAAAAGCTGTCTACATGCAACACATCGCTGTCGCGGGCATGGTGACAAAGAGCAACGCTGACTAGGCCGTAGTGACCAAACCGGTCTGTCACATGGGCGCAGACGACTGTATGGTTCGTGAGAGCAATGTAGTCCAGCAGCTCTTTTTCCTCCAGACGCTTCGCAAACGTTGTCGCCGTACAAAACTGGTTCGTACGGTGATGCAGCTGCAGGACTCTAGAAAATGAAGCACTCCGTCCCTGGAGCTCACTTTCCTGACCAAGGTCTTCGAAAACTATCTTCACGCCAAGAGCACTCAAAAACGCCCTGTGCGTTGACGACGATTTGCACAGCTGATCACGCTTCAGATTCTGTTGGTAAAGCTGTGTTCTCTGGCTGTCTTCTTTCGTGAGAATGCTTGCCCCTAATTTGTATGCACTTGCGCCCAAGCCTTCGTCGAAGACCCATTCTCCGTCCAGCACTTTTTCCGGAAAGTTTGCTCCTAGTGGAATGACAGTAACGGAGGGCAGTGCCGCCGCGACTTCATGGCACTCGAGAGGATTGTCGTCGATGAAAATAAACGAGTCCAGTCCTGCTCATGCATGATACTCACGCAGCGTTAGCACGTCAGAAGAGCTCCGTGAACGAAAGACCCGCACGCAGCTAATGGAGGCCGACATACCAAGCGATAGTTCGTGGGCGAGCTGTGCGATATTCTCTGATTTCGGCTGCCAGTTCACCTTGGCGGCAATCACATGTTGATCCATGTCAAGTATCATGTCATCGCGACGCTGTGTGAATGCGTCCCTCACGTCTGCAGGTATATTTTTACTGCAAAGCGCAATCAGCATGCCCCGTTCCTGCTGCGCGACAATGAATCGCTGGAGTGCGAGAAAGCGCGGAGCAAGAACGATCCCGCTGGCACCAACTTCGGCTACGGCACCACCCCACAACGTGTTGTCGCAATCGAGAACGATCACTTTCTTCTGGTGGCTTGCGGAACGATAAAGACGGCATATTTGTCGACACAACGACAGACTTAGCACGTTCAACATTGCTTGGGTATACGGCGAATGCTGGAGCTTGTCAGCGACGGCGTCGTAGAACGCAGTCACGTACTGCTGATGGAAGAGTGTCATGAGCCACTCGACCGACTGCACGGTCACGTTTTGCATCGCTTCAGCCCGCATCTGAACGGTTCGCTCCATGGCATTGCACTGAGCTGCGATGTTCGGTGGACACGGACAAAGTATCACAACCAGCCGGGGCGTCGCAGCGGTCGCGCCGATGCCGTCGTATCGCTCAAGATCGCTCAAAAAGTGACAAATGGGGCCGTCCGCGACACAGCTTTCTGCAGCAACATACCTGGCGCCGTCCCTACGCTCGTGCACGACGTGCAACTCAGGATGGTCTGCTGCAAGGTCGCTCAGGCGAACGAGTAAGAGTACTACGTTTACTGGAGGTGTCGACCGCAGTACGTGACTCGACCACTCGTCAAAATTCGCCAGACTGCCATACCGGAGCCATTGCAAGTCCACATCGGCACCTTCGACGGCCTGTCTCGGATCACCGATTACCATATGGAGCCACACAGACAAGCAAAAGACACGGCGTGAGAAAGATGGAGTTTGCTGCTTTTGACCAGCACGACACAATGGTCCGCAGACAGTGAAGGCAGACGTGGCTTGCACGTGTTACAGAGTATGGCATTCCACGAGTACAAGAAGAAGAAAAACATGGTACGGACATTCTGGAGAAGACACTGCAGGGGCACGGCCAGTGCTTCGTCACACGCAAAGGTGCCGCCGATCGCCACTTGCTTGCGCGTCATGAGTGCGTGTCGTGGGCTAAACCCTCCGACAAATTGTATTATGTGCGATTCGATTAAGTGCGACCTCGAGGACCTCAGTCCACCAGCTCGCGCTCGTACTTGGCCGGGTCAATGCGGGACCTGCAGCACAAACACATCGAGCACGACCATGAGCCAAAGCAATAGTCTCTCCGTGTGGACTTGCTGCCACGACGTACATGTTGCCGTATTGGATCGTAGGCGTGTGTTCACTGTCGACGTCTACAATACACACAGCCATGGCTACCACACAACACACGTCCAGAACACCACACCGTCAACACGTGTGTGAGACGCCGAAACAAGTTGATCGCGAACGAGCGAAAGCAGCAAAGAACGCACTGTTGGCGTCGAGGACGCGGTACGTGATCGTGACCATGGACTCTTGCAGACAAAAGTTGAGCGTGGCCACACTGGCCTCGGGCTTGAAGATGCCGTGGCACGTCACGCCTTCGAAACTCCATTCCATAAACGTGCCCTGCTCATCTGCAATAAACTACAAGCGAGGAAAAATCGACACGGAGTCAGTCCGACACGAGCATGGATCGCGTCAAAGTTCTCGACGCTGCAGCGACCTGCACGGTATAGGCACTAGCAAGATCCTGTTTCTTGTGCGTGCGTCCGAACGACCATCGGAGGAACCTGCAGCAACACATACTCGTCCGTCATGAACCAGCAACCGAACTGGGTCCTCTCATGAAGTAGCCACACAGATCGTAGAGAGTGCAACGACGTACTGTGTGTTGGGCTGCCGAGCCGCGTCGAGGTCCTCTTCGATAAGTACGACGTTGTTTGTCGTGCGCAGGTGCTTGAAACTAGCGCCAAAGTGGTGCCACTCGAGATTGCGCTTCCAAAAGCCCTTCAAGTACGAGCAAAAGTCGCCATTGGGCACGTCGTAGCGCATCACGGAGCCGGGCGCTGAGGTCATGTGGGACGAGTGCAAGTTATCTGCAAGATAGTTTACTTGCAGTACCGAAGTGCGGTCGAGAGATACCGATAGTAAGAGGTAAATAGCTAGCGTTTTGTCGACTTTGTCCCAAGTTGACACAGTTCTCGTTTTGGTCAGCTTCAAGTGTCGCATTTCGAGCACCAAACACCTGCAGCCCCCTCAAGCGTCAACTCGTCATGCAGCATGTCATCGTTCGAGAAACATTGGGTCGTGCTCGACAAGTCAATGTACAGTAAACGCTCCTGGCTATGAAACCGACGCGCATGCAAAGAAAAAAAGTTAAGGCATATGCAGCTCTGGCCACGCAATGTCTCACCAGTGCTGCAATAGTAAGTACAAGACGGAATCATTCGTCGATGCATCGAGGCTGCCGTTGTTACTCTTTCTCAGCAATGTCTACGCGGCTGCAAAGAAGTGCAACGTCACGGCCATTGAGGTGCCACTAAAGCTCAAACCCATACTGTGGTGCTTCAACGGCAACGATAGATACTGTATCGCCAAACCTGTCGCTTTCACATACCGTAAGGAACATGCAAAAACGCTGCTCCTGCTGCTACACCCCACTGACCTTGTGAAGCATAACCAATCCGAAAAGATGCCTGTTCAAAAGGGTCGGACACTACGCATACGTCAGTGACGAGCACAGCTGCAGAAAGTCGTTCTCGAAAGCACAGCAGAGATAAGTCCAATCCAGTGGTTCGCCACGTCTCGATGAACACGCCCAGTTAGACGAGTTGTATAATAGTACATCTTAGTCGACACGTCTTTGCTTCCGAGCACACTTGCATGCATTGTACACCACCTCGCGTGGATAGAATCGATAGAGAGCTACGACAAAATAAAGTCGATGGCAAAGCGGTCCGACGGACTCGCGTCTTCAGCGTCCGACGTGTCGCCCTCAATCTTGGTCCCTGGGACAGCGTCATCCTTGCTGTCCACATCCGTCGCACAGTCACTCGTGTCGTCTCGGCTGCTCATCTCGTCTTCGTCCTTCAGTCGACACTCGTCTGCAATTCGGGCATGCTGCATGAGCAACACAATGTCCGAGACACTGGCTCCAGCGTGCACGAAAGCGTCCACAAAGCCCACGTCGGAGTCATAAATCGAGATCTGTCCTTGTGGCGAGAACTGAAAGTGGTTGACGCCATGGTAGACGACTTCGCGGCCGATGAACTTGCGGACAAGGTCCTCATTGTCCGCTACATGCGGAAAAATGCGGTCAAACGTAGCACGCGAGAGTACCACGTGCAGCTTGGACCGCACCGTCACAATCGGGCTGTCTTCAGCTCCCACCACTTGGACGCTGACAACTTCAACATAAATACGCGAGTGGTAGCTCGTGTACTTCTGCCACTGGTCCAACAGCACGTCCAGTCCACTTGCGCCGCCAAACTGCAAGTCCGGGTCCATCGCGCTCTCCAAGAACGCCTGCTGCTTCCTTGCAAACGACTCACGCGAGAGCGCGTCGTCGACGTGGCCGCCCTCACCTCCACCCGCAGTGCTCAACGCCGATCGCTTCTGACCCACACGGTGCACCGACGGCATCCCACGCTCAAACAGCGCAAAGTACTCGTTCGCCAGCCGCACGAGCGACCCATCGACGCTATTGCGTCTGCGCAAAGCCGTGTCGGCACGCACACTGCACAGCAGACCGAGCTCCGTGACAGTGCGCCGCAGCGCATTGACCTCCGTGACCAACGTGTCTTCGTACTGTCTCTGGCGCGCGCGAAACGCGCGGCCACGTTCGCTGTTCGTCTTGGACAGCTGAACAGCTCCTGCTGCCTCGTCCTCTCCATTGGCCTCTCCATTGGCCTCGTCATCCTGCACGCAATCTGGAAACACGGGCTGCACCTGCTGCTCACCTGCTGCTGCATCTGCTGCTGCGGACGGACAAAGAGCGTCTCGACGGTCGCGCGCGCGTGCTCGATAACATTCCAGAGGTCCTCCTCGCGCGGTCCGAGACCTCCGAGATGGAATCGCCGACCGGCTGGAAACGATTCAGAGCGCTCGAGCTGTCGCCCGCGCATGGCTCTGGACAACGGCAACGGCGACGACGGAGAGTGGGCGGCGAGGGGCCGCGTCGGGTCGAGGCGGGACGTGTGGCGGCAGTGCATCGTGGCCAGTAGTGCCTCGGCACGTTTCTATCGCACCTGCTGCACCTGTTGCAGTAGAGTGAGTATCCATTCGCGCGTGGGCCGAGGGGGTCGTCTCACTTGGCGTTTGTATGCCTCGCGACCGCCGCGGGCCGCCCTCTCGTCGTACAGACGACACGCCCTTTAGGCGACCAATGAACAGTCGTTTCTTTTTTGTTTGGCCCAAGGCGGTCGTCATGTGGCTACATTTCGACCACGTTGAAGTACGCACGCACGACAGACAGACGCCACGGGGTTTTCTATGTCGACCGATTGGCACACGTTCGTGCTACTTTGTTATTTCATTACTTTTGCGAGCGCAACCACATGTTGGACTGTTTCCCGGTAGACTGTCGAGCCACTCTGCACAAGTGTCACAACTCGTTCGTTATCCTGTTTTATTCAGCACCCATGCACTTGCTATGGTGTGTTGTTGAACGGCGCGGCTCTTCGGTGGCACCACTTGCCGCCCTTGATGTGGCGAAACAGACATGTCACGACGGACGATAAGCCATGTTGTAGCAATTGAGGTGTTTCGAGAAGCGATTGTGACCAGCGATATCCTGACTTGAGAGGATGAACGACCGAGCGGAAGGGGTACCTATGGGTACCTACTGCGGACAGCACAAAGAGCTAACCATCCCGCTAAGAGTTGCCGCTTCGCTGATATCCGTTCACGAAAGGACTACGCGCGGCGGGTATCCTATCTAATGTCGGCGTGTAGGTCGACGTCTTTAGTTAATAAACGAAATCGTGGTCGACGTGATTCGTTATTACCCGAGCGATGTGGCTCCGGTCCGTTGAAGTGGGACCTGACATCGTTCGTTTTGTATTCACTGCAACGTATGCAAAGTGGTCGGCCCAAGTTGTTAGGCGTTCAGTAATGGTGAGCTCAGCTAGCGACGATAACTTTGTCATATATAACCCGCGCTATTCGATAAAGCGCGTCGAGGTGCGGCCTACGCGGCGGCGGAACAGTCGGAGCTGACTGATAACCATGGTGCTGTCTCAGTCACGTGCAGACGTGTGACACCACTTGATTTCGCCAGCTTCAGACCGTCGACAAGACCACAGTATTTGGCCATTGTACTCGCAAGAAAACATCCTGCATCGATCCTGCGTGTTCTCACAAGCACGTCACACATACTTTTCGATCCAAGTGTCGAGGCAAGGGTCATGTCTGCTAGTCTACAACTACAACAGTACTCGCCTTCTACTTGAGCTTTGTTCGACCACGTTGTCAGTGTTTTGGTCATGGACATCGATACGCCATTTGCGTCAACGCTGTGGACGGATGGATCGCCCAATGGCGTGCGCGTTGGAACGTCTGGACCAAATACCAACGTGTCAACCTTGGCGTCCTTCAAATTGTTGTAAATGGCCGAGCGATTGCTGTACAAAAAGGTATCCGCCATGATACGACTCACCATCAGGTTTAGATGCGCTGACACGGGGGCGGCCGGGTTGCACCCTACACGTTAATCACACCACGCAGGCTTACCACCAAGTGCGTCCAGCACACCGTTGCAATCTGCGACTGGAAATACTCGATCCAGCAGGCAGGTCGACCTCGCCGATTTGGCCCCAGTCGCGCTCGGACCGCGCGACTTCAAACTCACTGATCCCTTCAGCGCGACAATATTCAAGAGTCAATGTCAGGATTATCGTGTTTGAGCCCGAACATATATACGGGATGGCGCTGTCGTCGTGATGCCCGGAAAGTCCAGTTCGTTGCGTGTGAGCATCACCGTGAGTTCGGTGTCAAGGTGAAGTACCAAGAACTTCCTCTTTCTACGAAAAAGTCATTGACGTACCCACAAGTAGTCCATTGCGCGCGTAACCATCGTGACACATGATGTAACGGGGTTACACTTCAGGTGGTAACTGATATAAAAAGTGTGTTTCACACCACGGATGAGACCCCATTGAAAATTATATTAGAACACCTTGTCAGATGTTGGGGGCTGACGTGTGCCAGCCACCAGATACAAGATCTTTGACAATGTACCAATTAGAGCATTAGTGTCTAGATTAGGTACGTTTAGGCTAGGATGTCCTATTACATAAAGCAAAATATTGCTCAGCTCCCCCTTTGATCTATCAGAGACACGAGCATTCCTAAGGCGTCTCAGGTCGTAAGAAGAGTCAAGCCTTGTGAAGGCATACACTCCTGAGCACATTGTGCAGTCGATTAAGTGAATCGTTAGGTCCCTTGACCAAGGAACTTCAGCTTTGAGCTTGTTGGCTATTAGAGTCGAGTTCATGTAAAGAACTAGTTTGCTCGTCAAGTAGAAAGCCTTCCTCTGACTAAGAGCTATGCTAGCTCTGCTACATTTGGTAGCACTTGCAGTCAATCTACGCCTGAGTCTGTAAAGACTGATCCTCTGTAAGGATGGAACAATCCACCCCTCTCTATGAGCCCCAGAAGGTCGCGCCTAATAAACTGACCGCGGCTATGGGCCCGGAATATGTGGAAATCCTTATGGCACAAACCCCGAACGCGTTGAACGCACGTCTAGAGGCCTTTATGCAATACGAGACGACCGCATTGAATAAAAGGCCTCGAGACATAGATAGGGCAGGTCCAAGACCAAATGGCGTCGGCTGTGCTCACTCGCTTTGTGTCTGTGTCAAGCAAAGAGGGTAAGCCTTGTTCTGTCAAATTGGACGTTTAACCCTGCTTGGGGAAGGAGGGAGGAAAATCATCCTCTGGATTCGCTAGGTAGAGATAGCCCATAAGTCAGGCACGATATCAACTGAGTATCAGCGGGTCGCAGTGGTGATCTTCAAGATCGCTGGTGGAGCGAGGGAGTGAGAAATTACGTGCAGCGCTTCCATCGGTGACGCCTCCCCCACATGGGAAATTTTCAAGCTTCAGCTTATTCGCACTTTTGTGCCGCCCAATCAGGCGTATCGCGTGAGATCACGCTTCTTATCTACGCGTCCGGGCAAGAAGTAGTTGTCGGACTATGTCCAAGAGTTGAGGAAACTCATACCTGCTATGCAGGACACCCCCCTCATATGTAGTTCGAGTGACGGTGTTTTTGGAAGGTCTTCGTCCTGGCCCCACCAGAACTGAGGTCTTTCGTGTCCACCCCGCTACCATGGACGGGACTGTCAACATCGCACACATTGCGGACTACAACTTTAAGATTGTTAAACTTGGTTGTAATCCGGTCTCTACTCGAGCAATATCTAGCTCTATTAGAACCTCAGCGTTATCTAGACCTGAACCTATGGACCTTAGCAATACTGAAGGTGATGGTGGGGATTAAGCAGAGCTTCAAATTGCTAAACACCGACGTCACATTGTCGCTGCTATACGTGCGGAAGCACTACGCACTAGCGTAACGGATGCCCATCGCGCAGCAGTACCAGGCTCACATGAGTCAAATCCCTGCCAACAACCAAAGCTCTGGTACTGCACGGGAAAACGTCAACTCCCAGTAAGTGCGGGGTGCCCTACTGGGGTTGAAATATGTTATGTGATACCTCAGGGAGGTGATGGTGAGCAGGGATTAGCCCTTCAGCGCTCCGTGCTCTACAACACAAAGCATGTGTGTAAGTTGAAATTTCTTGTGGTACAGCAACTGTAACGGGTTCGATAACCCCTAAACGATTCTCATCGATTCCGATGCGTCAAGAAATTATACTCGTCGTCGTTCCCTGGAAGGGACTCAGCCGTATGCTGAAGCTCTCAGAGCGCAATATAGTGAGAGTATCGCCGTTCGTCTGGCAACAGGAACGTCTGTCACATCGCCAGAGATTGCCAGACACCACACACAGGGCTCCTAGCGGAGCTTTAGAGCCATTAAACCACCTCTGCTAGGAAACAAACGCACTATTGGCGTGGGTCATTACCTGAAATGACTCGTGTGCTGGGCATTGGTTTGTCATAGTTTCTTGACTCCAGATATGTCAATTACGTAAGTGTGGTGTAGTAGTTAGTTAATTCCGTCGTATAACAGCCTCAACGTACAAACAAAACAATCGCCGAGCTTAGTGGGCGCAACGGGCTGGTACGTTTGGATAAATCTCTACGCGGTTCGCCCCTTCGTGTTCAGTCGCGGCTTTCGCCTAGCCGATTCCTTACAACCACTCCTCCAGAAGTCTGTCTGAGCTCAGCAGCTTCTAAACCACTCTCTTCCTGTGACTTCACACCAACGGGTGGAAGCCGACGCTCACGCGTTTTTACAGGTCATTGGGAGTAGTGTCCGTCCGACTAAAAGAATTACGATGCCCTCGGCTGATGCCCACCGGCTTGTCGCTCGACAAGACTTTCGACGGTGCCGTCTATTGGGTCACAGGCTCGTCGACGACGAGACTCCTTCCATCGCTAGTAGCGAGCGCTGCCCAACCCGGGCCTTCACCATTAAGCAGAGTCCTAAGTTTTTATATAACAGTCGCAACCCCCTATTTTGTGACAACTAATTTAGAAAAATTAGGTACTTTTTATCCCGAAGTTACAAAGTCATTTTGCCGAGTTCCAAATATTTTATTAAATATTTAAAAAAAATCTATTACGTTATTATAAACGTTGATTTATTTTTACCTTTTTTACTCTTGGCGTTACTAGTCGATATTTCTATAAGCTATGCCTCTCGAGGTTCGACGGCAGGCATAATCTAGCCCATGGAGGGGATTACCTTAAGTGTACGCGTGTCTTGGACTTAGAAAATTCTGCACTGTATTGGTTTATCTCTTTTGCTTTCTCGCGGAGCCAGTTTGAATGGCTCTATGTCCCTCCCTAGTTCCTATACAAATAACGTGATGAATCTGTCAATCGATCTTCTCGCATTCTGCTATACCCTTGAGTCGCCGACACACAAGTCGCCGACACCCGAGTCGCCGACACCCGAGTCGCCGACACCCGAGTCGCCGACACCCGAGTCGCCGACACCTGAGTCGTCGACGCTTGAGTCGTCGACACTTAAGTCGCCGACACAGTAGCCAACACCCTAACGTCGTCGACACTTCAGTCG